ACAATATTTAAAGTTAGTAACACCCAGCATTTAATCACCCGCTTCTTCATTTCGTGTTTTCAACTTCTTAAATGTTTCAGGATCCCTACTCCAATTAATTTGGATGCATGAAGAAGAATTCAACCATCGAAATGTTCCAACCTCCGACCATTCGGTGGCCGTAAGATGACTGTCGCATGTTCTCTTTCTCCCTTATATATTATTCTCACATGTTTTCCCTTTAGCTCTTTTGTTTATGGATCTCTACTTCAGCTAACCTGTGAATCTCGACACCATTTTGGCTTCAAATTTAGGTAATTAATTTTATGATGTAAATTATTTATTAAGTTCATCTTTTGAAATGAATTTATTTCTTGTCCGAATTATGTTTTTTAAAATTGTCTGATAGCTTTTTCATTTCTGGATATCTACTATTTCTGCTTCAGTGAACCGGTGAATCTGGAATTTGGTTACTTAATATATTTTTTTAATTGATTCGGTTATGGTTAGAGAAATACTTTTAAATTAGACATTTGTTGATGCCTATATATAGAAGGTAGTGTCTAAAGCAATAGAAAAATACATTGTATTCTTAATATGAGGATTAATTTTTTTCTTTTAATTCTTGTTGCATTTCTCTAAGCTTCATCTAGAGTTGTAGGAGATTTACTTTTAACCTCTTTATAATATCAAATTACTTTGTAAATCTTTTATCTTTATTCTCATACTTTATATGCATTGTTTATTTTTGTTTTAAAAATATTTATAAGTTTTAAATTTGTTTATTGAAGATTTTTTTTATATTTATTTTGTATGTTTTTGCCTTATGTCTACTAAAATTTGCATTTCTATTTTTATTTTTTGATATGATGCTTGAGATAACATCATATAAAAAAAAATTTAAAACCGCCTATGCCGGTCCCAAGCCCGAATGAAAAATATTGAGGGTTTATTTTTGTCTCATTGCTCTTTAGAATATTAGGTTATAGACTTGGAACTATATAAAAATATTCATGCTCGTGAAAATAACTGATATTGATTCAATGCCCTACTATTTATTCGATTAGCAGATTTTCGCATAAATTCAACAAGCTACTTGTTATAAACTCTATGTAGACTTATTTTGTACTTGGTAGATAATTGGAGTGGAGCCTTCTGAAACTAGCGTCATTTCTGGGACAGTCCATGTAGTAATAAGAGTCATTGCACTTCTCATAAGTTGCTTGCAAGCTCTTTTCTTTATTTTGTTTAGATATATTTTGCAGGTCATATACCAAGTATTATGGATGTTAAATTGATTGATGAGGTTATAAAGGTATGTTTGTTGGATCTGCCTTTGCATTCTCCTGTATAAACTGACAATGCTTAGAAATTATAAGAACTGGATATATCTTCGACTTCCATTCTTCTATTAGGGAGTCTTCTTTGAACTGATCAGTAATGAAAGTGCCACTTGATATCTTTTTGTCGTTACCTACTTGGATATTATGCCATCAAATTATAAATCATATAATATTTCATTCAGAGACACCACTCTTTGATCATAAGATATTGTCAATATCTTATCAAGAAATTATGTTTCAGCTTGCTTTTTTTTCTATTGATTTCAATCACGTTTAATTTTCTAGAAAATGTTGTGCATGTTGCATATTTAATTGATATATGAGAACTTTTTGATAAATAATGATAAATAACACAGCAATAGGCAAGTTAAATCACATGAATGCAACTGAAATGTTGCCTACTTTGTACATAAACTATTCTCAGGCCGATATTTTCTACAGTGCCGATCGGCCTGGACGATGTCTAAATCGGCCTGGACGATGTGTACAGAAAATCACCTGGAGCAGAACTGGGCAAATTCTGGAGCAAAATTTCCACAGATCGTCCCGGGACGATCCAGATCGTCCTGGACGATCCTGGAGCAGATTTTTGATATTACATGAATGCAACTGGAATGTTGCCTACTTTGTATATAGCATCTTACGCCAAAGTATATGGCGTTTTAAAAAGTAAAAAAAAATATAGCATCTTCCTTGAAGTATTGTCATTTGCATTATAAAATTTTAGGCTATTTGCATAGCTTAGTTGAAGTCGATGGGTGTCCATGTGTAATAAATATCATATCATCATTCGATTCATTCCATACACTTTGATACATTTCTTATGAAGTATTGGAGTAAAATAAAATATTGATTCCGTTATAATTTCCATTGGAAACGAAGAATGATAAGAAATTTTATATCACTGAATATTTGAAGACAACCATTTCTTACATGCCTTAAATATTAGATAAGCACTGCTTAAGCTGTTGAAGTTGCGAGAACCTTAACTTTAAAAAAGGGCTTACTGGTAAGCACATTTGCTTTCTAATATATTTATTGCAGATATTTATATTTCTCTTGTTCATTGCAACAACCTATTAATTCTTCAGGATGACATTTATTCAGGAGCTGCTGCTGCTGCTGTCATTCATGTGGCAAGGAGGCTAGAAAATGCAGGAAAGCTGGTTGCAGTAAGGGCCATCCATTTAAGTGGAATTGTAGCACCTTATAGATATTGATTGATCATGCATTCCATTCCACAAACACATTTTTGATATGTTTGAAAAGCATTTTGAGTTCTCTACATTTCTTTCTCCTGAACTTAGAATAAGTGCATCGTCCTGCCCAGTAATAAATGATTAGCAAAATACTTGCACAGCTGATGTGTTTTCTTTTTGAGGATTGTATGAATTTAATACTAAATTCATACACATTTCATATATCATTTTGACCGTTTAAGCTTCTAAGTCCTAACCAATATTTTGATAGTTGAAATTAATTAATTTCTAGATTCATTAAAATTGGGTGTGAAGAATTATTTTGGAATTGTATAAGAACTGTTTCTTGGGGCAATTTGGATCGAGAGGTTCTTTGTGGCTTATGATTTGATTACATGTATGTGGTGTGATGGAGGTGTGGAGGAAGGGAGTGGGCGACAGAGAACTACATCATCCTAAAACTATATGCTTAGTTATGCGAATGTAGACTCGAATTATTACCCTCAAAACCACTTGGCCTAAAGGTTGACTTCTTTGTTGTCGCCTAAAATAAGTTGGTCAATCGTTCTAAGAAGTGCTTTAAAAACCGGACCAGACCGGCCGGTCCAACCAGTTCAACCGTGAACCGGGTTAAGGGCTGGTCCGGTCCAATCTGAAAACCGCCTTCACATTGAACCTGCCAGTTTTGGGTAGAACCGCCGATTCAACCAGTGAACTGGCGAACCGGTTTTTTAAAACCGGCCAGTTCAAGTTTTTTTTATTAATATTAGTTAAAAATAAATTATATAATATTAAATAAATATTAAACTTAATCATTATCAATATAAATATTAATATTAAAACTCTTAAATTAAATTAAACACACTATTATTAGGGTTTAGGGTTTAAAAAATTTTAAATATTTTTTAAATAAATAATTTAACATATATTTAAAAATTTTAATTAATAATAATATATCTTTTATTATAAAACATTTATCTCCAAATCATCATGAAGCATTTCACATGGAGTGGTGGTACTATGTGAGCTCTTAACACAAGAGAACTCAAAATGCTATGTAAACACTAGCAAGAAAGTCTTCTCAAGTGGTGTGGGACTAAAGAAAAGAGTTGAGATGTAAATGAACTCATAACATATATAATGCATATAAAAACTATTTTTAAATAAAAATTTTAATTAATTATTTTTTATGTAAATGAAACTTATTTATTAGTTAATAATAAAAAATTATTTATTTATACACTATAAAAATAATTTATCATTAATAATTTTATGTATTTAATTATTTATTAATTATTTAAGATATAAATTTATAAAAGAAATTTAGTATACAACATAAACATGTTATAATTAAATTTATATGGTTATATGTAAATTTAATCATATATACAAATAAGAATATTTATTTTAAATTTTAAACTTATGTTATAATTAAATTTTATTAAATATGTATCTTATTAAATTATATGGTAATATATAAATTAATTTACATTAAAAATTAAATTTAAAATTCAAAAAAATTTTAAATTTAAAATTATCATATTTTTATGAGCGTAAATTCTTATAAATATGAGATTTAAATTTTTTTTTCTTTTATGTGAGATTTTTAATATAATTCTTTTACTTAATTATATAATTTATTGTTTCATAGTTTTTTTTTTTAATTTAATTTTTTGCCTCAAACTTGAATGATAACATTATTATTATGTAATTTTATTAAATTTTAATAATATTTATTATTTATTACGTCATCCGTTCGACCCCGGTTAGACCGGTCGAACCGGTCAAACCATGAACCTCTCCTTCTTTCGGTTCGTTGTCCGGTCCGGTTTTCACAGCCTTGGTTCTAAGTGCTTTTTTTTGGTTTTTTTTATCTTTCTAAGTGCTTTGGTTCACTTTATGCTCAAATCAACCCACTCTCAAATTTATTATGTTTATTTTTTTATTATAATTTTTAAAATTTTATTAATGTGCTATTAAAAAAAACTTAACTTTCACGGATATCTGATTGTAAAAAAAAATAATTTATTTATTAACTAATAAAAAGAATTTATTACCAAGATTATTCATGAATGAATAATAAAAAATTCATGTCGTAAATATTATTTATTTAATCATATAAAATTTATTATAATGATTATAATTATTTATAATAATATTTTTTTCATTCTAATAATGATAATATAATTAAAACATTTATGATATAAATTTTTATTTTTAAAGTTTTAGTTATGCAGAACATTTTTACTATTATAGAATAGGCGTTCGAATGCATTTAACGCACTATATGCATTTCTCTCCCTTTTACTGGTTGAGGTGCCTAATAAATTCCGGTTAGGTGGGTGACAGTTCCTCCACATTAACGACGGAATGGGGAAGAACTGAGAAATCTCCCTGCAGAAGCCGCGTGCTTTTACCCACCCAACCCTCTGATCTCACAATCACGGATCTGGGAAGCAGGTCCACATCTTCACCATCTTGGTTGCGGTATTCATTATCATAGCCGCCTCTGGCTCTCCACGCCTCGCCTTTCCTTTGTCCCCACACTTTTTCTCTCTAGCGATCGATTTGTCATCTTTCATAGTGGGAACAACTGCCTGAAAGGTGCGTTGAAGGAAAGGATTTGATTTGGCTATTTTTCGTGGAGATTTCGATCTATTTTGGCTTAGAAGTGTGACTTGTCGCTGTGAATTGATGGTTCGTGTAGATATTCTTTGATTTTCGCGATTAGGAGAAATTTATGCGACTGAAATCTCGAATTCCTTTTTATTGGGTTTTTAGGTTTCTGTCGATTGATTGTGCCGACTTTGGAAGCTTTGACAGGTTTGGGCTGCCTTGATTTCTTCAGTTAGTGCCCTATTGTCATTAACAAGCGATTTTGCTAAACCAGTTATTTTTCTTCCTTTTTGCTTTGATTTACTGTTTCTACTCTTCGCACGCGGAGATCAATTAGCTTTTCATGAGCAATGTCTGAATCATAAATTTTTTGGTTTTTCTGGCTTCTTGTTGTTGACTTTATATAAATTTCGTGATTCAGGTTTGGGCTGCTTTTATTTCTTCAATTATTGCCCTATGCTCATTAACAAGCTCTTTTGCTAAACCGTTTTTCCTTCCTTCGTGTTCTGATTTTGCTGTTCCTGCTCTTTGCGAGCGGAGATCAATTATCTTCTAATGAGCAATATTTGAATCATAGAAATTTTGGTTTTTCTAGCTTCTTGTTGTTGACTTTATATATATGTCGTGATTCACGCAGAATCAAGGACTTCTTAAAAGTTTTGTTTTTTAATTTATGTGATGAAATTTTATTTTTCTTTTCTTGGATGTTGGCTTCACGGCCTTGAAGCATCGGTTTAGGAATGATAGGCGATCTTCTGGTTGTGTAACTTGTGTTGCTGCTTCCAACTGCTGGTATTTCCGTTGACTATCTTGATTTGGAGGTTGGAAACTTGAGTTCTAATGAACTGATTACTTGCTACAAATATTTTAATATTGTTATGGTAGCAGCTCTTTGTGCTTATGCGCTAATGATGGGCGGAGTTTGATTCCATTGGCTGAATTCTTTTTGTGTGGGTTGATGACATCTTCTTTGTGCGTATATTTTGTTGGTGCTAGCCTTGAGAGAAATGATCCCTCCTTGCTAAAGAATTTCTGTCTTTCAACTTCTTTAAAACTGAATATTCTCTTCTTAGGAGAGTATTTATTCATGGAACTTTTATCCATTCAAAAGCATTGATTTCCTGAGAGTTTGAAGGACATTATGGGGCTGATTGGCAACAAGTATGATTTAACTCAAGAAGTAGGATTTAGTAAATACTGTAAATCCGGATTTACTAAATTGTTTGACAAAAAAAATGTTAAATCCTGTGAAACTATTTGGCAACATAACTCAGGATTTAAGGTGGGTACTTCATTAAAAATTCAAATTTAATTTACATTTTCAATACAAGTTACTTACGAATTTCAATTTTAATTTAGTAGGATTCAGAATAAATCCTGCATAGATTCTATATCCAAATAGCCCCCCCTGAGTAAAGCCTTGTGTTACTAGGCAAGCTATGTAGCAATCCACTTGATCATCCGGATGATACTTGATTTTGAATGGCCATCGACATCCAACTATAGGTTTATTAGGTGGTGGAGCAACAAGGGACCATGTGCCTTGCTTTTGAAAGGCTAGAAATTCGTCGGACATTGTTGCCCTCCATTCTTACAACTTGGCAGCTTGGGACATTGGTGACCTGTTTTTAGGTGGGTCTGCATGGGATGAAGATAAGAGTGTGGGTGGGATGGCAGGTTGTACAGTAGGTGATTGAAGTGCTGGAGCTGGAGTGGGGTAGGAGTTGGAGGGAGTGGTGTGAGTTGAGGGTGGTGGGCTGGATGATGGTGGAGAAGATGGAGTTGGTGAGGGGAATGGAGGTTGATTGGTGGGAAGTGCGGACGTGGGTAGGTAGGAGTGGTGATGGAGGCGAGGCCGCCGAGGAAGAGGTGGAGATGGATGAGGATGGGGAGGATTTGTATGGGAAAATATGCTCATGGAAGACTACATGTCGGGAGATGTGTAGCTTATTGGAGTGGAGGTTGAGACATGGATTCCCTTTGTGTGTAATGGAGTAGTCGAGGAAGAGGCACTCTTGAGAGTGAGGGGCTAATTTGTGTTGTGCTAGCGGTTTGAGCCATGGGAAGCATATATAGCCAAAGGTCTTGAGATGGGAATAAGAAGGTAAACGACCATGGAGTAGGTGGAAAGGGATTTGAAGGCCGCAGGCTTTGGTGGGAAAACAATTGATTAAGTAGTTGGATGTAAGAATTGCTTCAGCCCAGAAGTGGTGCGGAAGATTTGCAGCATGAAGAAGGGTGCGAGTGGTGTCCAGTAGGTGACGGTGCTTGCGTTCCGCTAGTCCGTTTTGTTCTGGCGTATAAGGACAACTGAGTTGTTGGGTGATGATGTGTTTAAGGAGAAATGAGGTGAAGGTGGTGCTGGTGAACTCTCCTCCACCGTCATATTGTAGAGTTTGAATGGTGAATTTAAAATTTGTGCTGATCAGTGTATGAAACTGCTGAAATTTGGAGAAGGTTTCTGCTTTGTTATGCATTAAAAATAGCCACGTAAAGCTAGTATAATTGTCTATGAAAATTACATAGTAATGGAAACCATTTAGAGACGAAATGGGGGTCGGACCCCAAACATCGGAATGTATTAGCATAAAGGGTTTGTTTACATAAGATTTTCTTATAAAGGTAAATTGTGGCTTTTTGTCATATTACATGAAGTGCAAACAAAAGAAAAAGATTGAGTACATATGGAGGGTATGAGATTAGCTAAAGTCTGTAAAGATCGGATGTTGGGATGGCCTAAACAAGCATGCCATTGGTTGGGGGAGGTGATCTTTGTTTGTAGGGTAGAAGGAGAGTCGACGGATGTAGTGGATACGAAGTAGAGGCCGTCTCGACTAAGTCCATGGAGCATAATTCGATTGTCCAACATATCCTTGATGAGGAAACCGTTAATATCAAAAGAAATTGAGCATTTATTATTGGTTGTTAATTTGTGGATTGATAGAAGGTTGTGTGAAAGAGAAGGAACACGAAGTAGGTCGTGTTAACGAAGCTTACGGTTGGAATCTGGAAGAGGAAGGAGCCCTTGGCAAGTGTTTTGGATTGATAACGAATTGCTGTTCGCAATGGAGACTGAATTCGAGCCTGTGTACGGTGTGGAATGATGAAGATTGTTGGCATTCGGAGTGAGATGAGTGGAGGCCCCTGAGTCCAGGACCCATTCATTTGTTGAAATGGATTGCGGGTTGGCCAGAAGTGCCCGATTGCTAGTTGTGGAGGTTGGAACATAGGAAAGGTTACATCGATGCCAACAGTTCAGTGCAATGTGTCCAGATTTGCCACATATTTGGCAAGTGGGACGATTGGCAGCTGGGGAGGGGGGACGATTGTTGGATGTTTTGTTGATGGTTGTCCTGAAGGGAACTCCGCGACCACGATAACCTCTCGGTTGAGATCGACCACGAGGTGTGGAGAGACGAGTAGAATATAGTTCGGTATGTTCGAACGAGTGGCTGGTATCTCGCTGAAGGTCCGACTGTAGAATAATCTCTTCACTGCAAAGCAGAGAGTAAAGCACATCTAGACTAATGGGTAGTTGTGATGTGAGAATGGCTGTTTTGAAGGAATTGTAGGATGATGGCAGGCCATTCAGAGTTTATAAGATGATGTCTTCGAAGTATGTTGGAGTTGGCTGCTGCGATATTGTCCACAAGCGACTTAATCTGTGTTAGGTGCTGTGACATTGTGCTGTCTCGCATATGTATGTGATGGAGCTCATTTTTGAGTTGGATGACCCTGGATTGATTGGTTGGTTGCAAACGACGCTCAAGAGTGAGCCATATCTCACTAGCAGTGGCGAGATGGATAATATAGGGAAGCACAAAGAGAGAGATGGTGGTGAGAAGACCAAAAACCAGGTATTGGTCTATGAGATGCTAGAGGCGATAGTCAGCTGGATTGGTTTCTGAATTTGTAGAAGATGGTTTGGATGCCTGACAGGTGAGATATCCATCAAAACCATTCGTAGAGAACAGCATGAGGATCTGTAGCCGCCAGATCGAATAGTTGTCATTTGTAAGCTGGTTGGGGATAATAGATTTAAGGTTGGTCATAAGAAACTTAAGTGGAGAAGGAATGATGAAGTCGGCCATGGATGCTGATAGAGAGGATGCCAGTTGAGCCTGAGAAGATGAATCTTGATCGGCCATTGAGATGAAGATGGGTGGGAGAATTAGTGCCTAGTCTCTGATACCATAAGAGAATCCCTGCATTGTTAGTTAGAAGAAATACTAAACAAGAGAATAGCACAGAGAGGGTAGCAATTCATTCCTTTTCCATAGATGTCTTTACAGCTTGCTGTAGTGATTTATACATATAGGTAAAGGAATAATCTAGAATAAGCAGTGCTGTGAAGCCGTTAATGCCAGGCGGTGAGATAAAGATAGTGGAGACATGCTTGTGCTGATGTAGTGGTAACCAGATAGATGTTGTGGTCTTGAGGTAGACCTTAAGTGGTCTAACAATTCCTGGTTAATATTTCTTGCTCAATATTAGTTTAATAGAAATAGATCTGTTTTTAAGGAAACATATTAAACTTATGCAGCTTGTTTTTCACCCTCTAAAATTTTAGTTTCCAAACTGCAGGTAATTGCCGAAGTTCTGTTCTTCTACGGCATCTAGATCTTCTATGGATGACCATACTAAGAAAAGACCAGCTGGTGGTCCTGAATTATCTAAAAGAAGTTATGGTCTTTATTTCAGAGAGCCAAAACGTGACGAGAGAAACTTTCACGACTGCAACCGCACAGGGTGGATCACTGGGCATAATTCACTGAAAAGCCCTCAAAATAACAGTTCTGAGAAACTCAAATATTTAAAGCCTCCTTTGAACTTTAGAAGTGTTAATCCCAATGCTGCAAGTTCTTCCAGATCATTTTCTTCAAGTAGCAATTTGAATATATCTTTCCATGAAAGCAAAATTGGAGATTCTCTTGAAGCAGATGTTTCAGAATGCAGTAACAGACGATGCGAGGATGAAGATGGTTTGAATTTTGATTTGGAGTTCCATGGAAGAAAAATGGTGACCGACTATTCTCGGGGCCTTAAACCACCAATTCTTCATACTTTTCCATCAAGTTCAACTAAAATGATGAGCAATTCCAATGCTACGTTTGCCAGCAGATATGGCAAGCAAATTAGTCAAAGTTCTGTTAGTACCACTCAGGACAATGCAAACCCACCTTTCCGTCAATGTTTGATACCAAGAATTCCTAGTCAATTGCCTAAATCTGATCCACATGCTATTGGTAGATCACATAGATATGGTCTGAAAAATCTTGGTTGTGCATCAATTTCAGATGCTCTTCCATCGAGTTCTTCCTCTGATGGACTTAATCAAAGAGCTGTTTCACTCAGAAAAAAGTTTCATGATGGAGAAGGTTCTTCTAGTGGGATTGCATCGTTTCAAGTGCAAGGAGGACCTGATGATACCTCAAGGATGACCAAAAGCCAATACAACAACAGGAATGCTACAGTTTCTGTTAGACCCTGCTCGAGCTCTGGAGGGGAAAGTAGCAAAATAAGGTGGAATGATCAAGAAGATGTGCACAATTTTGAACTGCCTGGGCCTTTTATGTACCCAATGCGGACTCATGCTCCATTAGTAATATCTGAAGTTGCTCAGGCGAGGTCACCATTGCCATTTGAGTTTCAGAACACTTCATATGCTGTAAGACCACGGTCAAATAGCCAGAGTTCTCGACATAGGTCTGTTATGTATTCTGAAGATGTTGGTGACTACATTCGCTCGAACATGGAAGGAACTGCAGGGGTATATACTACAGATGACAACTATGTTAATCCCATGACCCAATAAGTTTTTTATTCAAAGACTTCTTTTTTCTGTATCCAGGTTTTGCAAGCACTGGAGAGGATTGAGCAAGATGAAGAGTTGACATATGAGGTGTTTGTTCTGTAAATTTCCTGCCAATATTCCTAATTGCTATCATCTCATGTTAACTAAGATTATTTATATACTTGCAGCAATTAATGGTTTTAGAGGCAAACTTACTAGAAGGTTTTAGCTTCTATGATCAACATAGAGATATGAGATTGGATATAGATAACATGTCGTATGAGGTATATTTTTGTTCAAAAGTTGTTTTGCCATTTGTAATTTTTCCTGCAGAGCAGTTTTATTTTTTATTTTTAGTTATTTTTTAATGCACCATATAGAGCTCTTATTTATCTTCTCATAAAAGTCTCAGTGTGTTCAAAAAGTTTGTAATCTGTTACTGAATCTTATCATATGAATTTGTTATGTGCTAAGATACTGTTTGGTTTGTTATTGTAGTGGGGTTAAATTGATTTAGTCCTAATAATACACGAGGGACAAATCTGTAACTTCAATTTGAGAAAATCTTAAATATAGTTTGTCTTCACTTTGGCCCATGGATCATTGTGGATTGTACAGTATAATAGCCTCCTTTCTAATTAGATGGTGCTGCATAGGGTTACCCTATTGCAAATAGTTGGAGTGTGGAAGTAAACTACACAACGAATAAAAAAACAAGAAATAGAAAGCAGTGGAAATAAGTGGACATTGGGATTTAACGTAGAAAAACCTGAAATCATGACAAAACCACCGAGCCACACCACACCAAGAATTCACTATAAAAACTGGGAGAAATTTGTACCGATCTCTCTTCTCTCTAGCTCTCACCTTATTTCTCTTCACTCTCATACAATTCTAACACACAAAACAAAAGAGAAAGTCAAGTAAATAACACAAAGGAACGCCACCCTTAAGAAAAATTGAGATAGAAAACTATAAAGTCTTTCTCAAAGCGCTGTGACTCTCAAACCTCTGTCATCGATCCATCTGCCAGCATTGTGGCACCGAATTTAGAGCGTTGCAGCACTAAGTTCTATGTCGTTTCTCCCAACAAATTTTGCAGCACCAGGTGCTTGGGAACACAATGTTGGGGCATTCCGGTATACAGCATCGGGGCGCTCGGGTACGTAGCGCCAGGGCACTCGGGTACATAGGACAGGGGCATTGTATGAAAAAAATTTCGGGTGCAAAGCACCTAAAGCTCCCAGCGAGCACGAAAAATTGAACTGATGTCCGAGGTAACAGTGCAATCCAATCTATCAACATAATCCGATTTAACACAGATTAACACAAATCTTTGCTGAAGTGCACAAAAGAACATACAAAAGATCAAAATTCGTAGTCCACCTCTTAAGAAAAACAATTTCTTTTCATGTAAATACGAAAACACTTAAAAGTCTAAATGATATTTTGAAAATCATACAAATCTATAAAAATTTGATGGAAAATAAAATCTCACATCTATTAGAATTCACTTCGCTAAAGTAAAACAAAACTGTAGAAAACTTGATAAAATTTCAACCATACATGTAACCATGTTCACAAATTTTGTAGAGAAAAAAACAACAAAGAATTGCCAAAGAAGATGCAAGCCACTTATCAATAGAAGGCCCAAAATTACTTGTAACTCATTCAAAGAATCCATATTTAACAGCCCAATACATTTTTGAGGAAATTTTGATTTTTATTAAACAATAGAATAATTTTTTAAATTCCACTTGTTGGCCCAATTTATAAAAAAAACACTCATAATTTCTCAAGAATCCAGAATCCATCTCAGAACACAACTCTCAATTGAGCCAACACAGTAACATGTTTCGGTTTTTGTTATGGTGGCAAAATTGCAGGAATAAGAAAACAAAGTACTTGAATCCTTGCTATAACAGGAAAGCCGAGTATAGGAGGAAAACAAAGCAGTCTTGGAAGCTGAAAATTTAAGGAAACAACCAAGTTTCATTCCAGTTACAATAAGAAACTGCAAACAGAAGGAAATAACCAGATCTAATTCTAGCAATAATGGGTAACTACAGGCCGTCAGCCGGTATGAAGAAACCTAGAGCAGTAAAGAAACCTTTCACATTTTGCACAAGACAAGTAACACAAAAAACAAGCTATCAACAACAATCAACATGGTGCCGACTTCAACAACAATACCACAATGCCAAATTAGCAGTATTCAGCCATGGCCAAATTCGGTTATGACAACACAAATTAGCTATTGAAAGGTAATAAAAAACTTATAGCTGAGACAAAAAAAGAGACATGGCAATTGTAGTGAAGAACCACGGTCAAGAGATGGAACAAAATAATGAACCAACGCATAGAACTATCAACATGATATTAAATCCTCAAAATAATGAAAACACAACTCATTTTCTATAGAGAATAATCATAGGCATGCTTTCAAATACCTAAAATAAAGACCTATGAAATAAAACAACCCAATCAATATCAATGCACATGATTTGCATATCTGATGAGCATAGGCTAGGGGTGTGAACGAGTCAAGTGATGTAGAGTAGTGGTATTATCAAGCTCGGCTCGTCAGTCAAAAAATTGGCTCGAGCTCGAGCTCGAATCGAACCCAGAAAATGAGCTCAAACTCGACTAGTCATTTAAGTTCTCGGCTCGAGAGTTCAACTCTAGCTTGTGGGAGTCCACTCAATAGCACAATGGGTGAATTGGCGAAATCATTGCGAGAGTGCTGAAGAAGTTTGACTCATCGGTCATCAGCCTGTTGGAGAAGCACCAAAGAAGAAACAATTTTATTTTTTAAAGTGACAGTAGCATGGAAAAGTTTTTTTTGGGGGGGGAAGAAGTGCAACATCATATACATTAATGATATTAAATGCACCGCAATAAACCTTTTTTTTTAACTACAACTTTTCAAATTCTTAAATACATATAATCTAAAAAAAGAAGTGAATTTACTTCTAAATTATATAAATTAATAAATAATATTATTTTTTATCCCCAAATATTTACTTAATCGAGCAAACTCACAAGCCAACAAGCCAAGCCTTATAAAACTCGAATTCGATCTCGAGGCTCGACAAGTTCGACTCACGAGCTCGTTAGCAAGTCAAGTTTGAGCTGGCTTGCAAGTAGGCTTGGCTCACTTACACTCCTATCCTAGATATTTAGATTTGATCATTATGCTTGACTTGAAAAAATAAAATTTCTGCTAATTGGGTTTTTGATATTTTACATGAAAATTTGAACATAATTTTACTGCTTTTTTAAAATAATACATGTTTCATCATAGGTTTTATCATTTAATTGCATAAGATACCCTGATATACGTCATTAGTAATGAACACACTCTTATCATTTAGAATAATCTATGATGCACAGATACAGACACGTCGACACAAATATGACATGACACTAATATGTGACATGTCAATTATAGAGTCTGGAGGAGGTTAGAGATTCAAAGTTGATCGAGGTACCTGAGTGTGTATGTCAGCTTCTGCTATGGTTTCCTGTGATTTTTTCAGTAACTTAGCGGATTATCGCCACCTAGGGAGCATGAGCATGCCATTACCTTGAAAGAGGGAGCTTCTCCTATCAGTGTCTGACCATACCGGTATCCGTAGATTTAGAAGGTTGAGATAGAGTCTCATTAGAGAGATACTTGAGGTAGGGATTATCAGGTCTAGTATAATCTCCTTTTCCACTCTAGTTTTATTGGTGAGAATGAATGATGGGAGTTGGAGATTTTGTGTGGATTATAGGGCCTTAAATAAGGAAATTGTGTTGGACAAATTTTCTATCCCCATGATTGATGAGTTGTTGAATAAGTTGCTTGGGGCAGTCATCTTTGGAGATTGACATGAAATCAGGGCACCACTAGATCAGAATGAAGTTGGGGAATGTGTACAAGATAGCCTTCAGGACTCATGGAGTTATTATGAATTTTTTGTGATGCCTTTTGGCCTTACCAACGCTCCAACCACTTTTCAATCTCTCATGAATTGGGTTTTTTAACCCTACCTTAGGAAATTCGCCTTAGTATTTTTTGACGACATCCTAATCTATAGTTGTATGGAGGTAGAGCATGTGGGTTACCTAAGGACTTTATTGGAGAATTTGAGGAAGCACTAGCTGAATGCCAATTTGAAGAAATGTTCTTTTGTATAGTCATAGGTGGGGTACCTAGCACATGTGGTGAGCAGAGCAAAGATAGTCGTAGACCAATCCTACAAATGATAGATACATGCGTCCTGATTGCAGACTATCTTATGAACGCAAAGATTCGAGACTTGACACTCATATTGAAAAGTTTCTTACTATTTACAAAAATATGAGTTCAACTTTATCATCTTTGTAGTAAGATTCCTCATATGACATTACTGACGTTAATGTACCTACTCCCATCTCATGCATCAACCATGTTATGATAAAGGCAACTCGGTGTAAGGAGAAGGTCTGCCGACATATTACTAGAGGAATGTCTTAACTATAATACTAAGCATACAAGGTTGAATGATTATGTAGAGTCAGAGAATGATCAGTTGAAAAGACGTCTCGATGGGAGGGCATACCAAAGTTGATTTGGATGGAAAGTATCATTGAGACTTGTATATTCCTTCATCTTTGCAGAAATATTGAGGCTTTTGGTGAAATGCCACAAAACGAAGGATGAATAACTGTACATCAAGCTTCATAACCTAATGTCTTACACGCACATCATTTTTGGTGAAATGCCGCAAGATGAAGGATGAATAACTGTACATTAAGCTTCATAACCTAATGTCTTACACTCACATCATTAAATGTTGCAGCTGCAGATTGAAGAAAGCTGCTCTTGGTCGCCATCTAAATGACTATAGGAGAAAATTTTTTCGTCTCATGTGTATATTAGATACCAGAATGTCATTGGGATAATTACTATGTGCTTTGTCCTAATCATGCTTCGAGGAGACTATCTTGTAACGTAGCAGAGACAAAGAAATCTAATAGCACATAAGTCGAGCCTTTGGTCTCATCAGATTTTGATACCTCATCTATCACAAAATGACCTTATGCAACTTGAATGTCCTCGTCTTGTCTAAGCAAAGGTTAGATGATTCGTGGATCTGATATTTCGAAGAACAAAAAGCTGGAGCTTGTATCAGAACAATGAAGTATCTCATGACTACTTTGAATGAAATGTTACGATTCACTTATATGCAAAAACAGTGAATCAATAGTAAAAATTGCGTGCCACGGAAGCGTAACGCCGTGCCACTGGATCTACAATACTCGTACAAGCATAAAATGTGTATACAAGCTTCTAAATAGAACGTTGTACACCTTCAAATGATAGTTGTTTGCATAATTGATTAGTGCCAAATTTAAAATGCCCTCATACATGCATTGCAGCAGGCATAATAATTTACGCAAACATATTATGCGGCATCGCAAGATACATTATGATATAACAGTGCATCACATTTGCATGCCAACCAACACATGGCATATGCAATAGTCGCAACATACAAAATACAATTTGCAGAAACGCTATTCATAATGCATATACATTACGCACTAAATGCAAGCGTCAGATTATCATGTAAACATATTATGCGGGCAAATCGATGATGTATAGATTCATTATGCATGCATGTTACACAAATGTACTGTGCACTATATTAATGTGCCACGCCACCGGATCCGAAACATGCATACAAGCAAACATATGGCATCAGTAAAGCCCAAAATAAAGTCCTACATACTTGTTAGTAATAACTACCTATATAGCTAGCTATCTCCAAAAATACAGTCATGGCCAGAGCCTGTATGTTTCTCAATGACTTCAAATCATTGAGTAATGAATCAATAAGATATGACATAATATGCATGCATCTGCGATATATTGAGGGTTTCATTCCACCATATCACTTGACATTACAATCACAATTCAAAATGATCCCCTGTGTGTATTTGTAGGATGTAGAAGGTTTCATTCAAGTATGTCAAATGACATTACAATTATATTTTAAAGTGATATCCTTCATGCATTTGTAGGATGCAGAGGGTTTCATTCAAGCATGTCATTCAATATTGCATTTACATGCAGATATGTCGTACATGCGCAGCTGATTGTCCTGCATGTATTTGTAAGATGCGGACGATTTTATTCAAGTAATATCATAAAATATTATATTTTCTTGCAAAAATTGCGAACACCGCAACTATATAGTATGCAAATGAAAATTCTAAAATGCATTGGTCAATATACGTGATACCTGCATATACATTGTTTATATCCATTACATATGTATAACAATTATATAGATGCATCATGTAAAGCAAATGTAAAAAAAAAAGCATATAATACTTGCATGGGCCCCAACGAGCGTGTTGTAGATACACATTTGATGTATGAGGATCCTATGTGGGTTAAAAAAAAATTAGATATCAACCCGATCCTCCATAAGTAAATTGATAGAGTCGATAAGGTTCAATCAACAAAAATGTAACAACTCATAGAAGCCCTAATGATGATCGTGTTGATAGAAAATCTCAACCGAAGGGAATCTCAAATAACCAAAAATGCCTCCTAAAATTCTCAAATGCCCATAAAAACCCTAAATTCTAAAATTATCTCAAAATCAAGATATTTAAAATGAAATAAACTAACAAACAGGTAAATCAAACTATCCATCCACCCTCCGTAACAGTTTGTCGGGCTGGACAAATTAAAAATCACTTCAGCTCACAAAGAACTAATGTCTGGTCAAAAATATCACTAGTATTAATTCTCAATCCGTTTCTTGTCAGTAACGACGTGGCATGTGTCATCTAACTGGTGGTTTTGCTGCCCAATGGCACTACACTGATTGTTTCACCGCTAAATGACAACACAGGTAAACAGTTATGACAAAGACCCTCTGACCGGGTGATTTTTCCGCCAAATGATACTACTAAATTACAGTCATGGCCAGAGCCTGTATGTTTCTCAATGACTTCAAATCATTGAGTAATGAATCAATAAGATATGATCGATAGGATAGAAAGCCCTATGTTAGCTAATGTTGATTCAAATTTGTCCCTTTAGACAAATATTTACCGAAGGTCCATAAGGTACACTTGGACGAAGCAATTCATGACTGTTGGCAAGGATTCTTCAATCAGGTTAGGTTGACTACCTCCTTTGACTAAGTAGATTAGGGACCACGATGGTCTGGGATGATGGAACCATGGGATCTTGATCGGGCTCTGCATTATTCCCCCACCATCCGCTTTGAGTACGTGTTGGTGAAATTTCTAATGTTAAATATTAAATTCTCAAATTTCTAAATCATGTTGCTATTATACACCAGATACTTTGTATTTATGTGATGACTAGCCTCAATCGAAAGTTCTCTCTCGTTATTGAGAGGGGTAATTAACTATAGGGGTTTGCGTCTATAGGAAACCAGAACTTATATCATAAAACCCTTGTAAAATGAGGGTGAAATATCTAGGTAGTGTCTTATTTAAAACCCAATCTGCCTTCTGAAAATTTATCCTAGAACCTACTCGTTAAAACTCTCCTCGACGACCCTAAAACTAAGAAAGAAAGAAAATGAGGGGTCCATGGAGAGGCCGAGGCGGGAATTTCTAGAGCCCTCATATGTATATTTTTGGTAGGAAATTTTAAAATATGTAGGAGCAAGAAATAATCTGTTATTTCAAAACATAGCACCGAATTTGAATTGAGTCATTGTCCAAGGAATCTGTGAGCTTTGGCAGATTAAAATTATTTTGGAATGTTTAAAAAACCAAATGATTAGAGTCAATGAATATATACTGTGACAATAAATATGTCCATTAATATTGCTTAGATTAGTACAATATAATCATACTAAGTATTTTAATGAAACTGAAAAGTAGGTTTATTTGTACTCTATATATACCAACATAAAATCAACCTGTAGAAATTCTCACAAAAGGATTTTGCAATCCTACGCTCAAAAATATTATAAGCAAATTTGTAATAGTATATTTATATCATTTAATTTGAGGGGGAGTGTTGAATGATCATAATATCCACTAGTCAACTAATCTTAATAGGGATCCTTAATCACATAAATCAAGGGTCCTAATTGTTAGATTGATTCTCTTATGGCCCATAGATTGCAATTCAGGATCCTCCTCTTCCTCATCTAGCCACTAGCCCCTCTTGGGGTCTTTTTTCTTTCTTTTTTATAAATAACTTCGATTTATTTACATTGTAAGACTTTTGGGGTAGTTTATATGTACTTTCATATTTTGTACACAATCAAGTAATACAATTAAAAGTAAAATTTTCTATTTTTCTACCTAGATGATTCTCTTAGAACTTTTTAAAAAATAAAAAAAGAGTATAAATGACTTTTCTCTTTCATTTTAAGCACTAAAATCAAAGTATTTTTCTTTTCGGAGGGATTCTATCCTAAGAATTCTAATTTAGTGTGATGGCACTCAATAAAGCGATTGGTGTGAAAACAAAAAAAAATCAAAATATTTAGTTAAATAAGAGTTTTTTATAGACAATTGCCAATAAAATTCTCAAATCATAAACAACAAATCCTTAACTATGTAAGCCATGAAATTATGTCTAACTATCTTGTTAAATAGAAGATGATTGTGACTCTTTGAGATGAAGAGGATAGAGAAGATTCTCATGCTAGCAATAAAAGATTAATTAAGTGATATTTGGTTCATTTTTCATATAAAAACTTTCTTAACAGAATAATTGAGACAAATACCTTAAAGTCTCTGAGTTTGAATCTTCCATGCCTAGCTCTAGAACATGCTACACAGTGAAGAGAAAAAGGGCATACTTTAGAAGGCTATGGAAGCTCTCCCAAAACCCATCAAGGGGAATATGGAAGCAAGGATTGAAGAACAAGGTGAGTTGATGGATACACAAGTTTATCTTATTAGGGAAAAGTGTGTGTATGATAGAAATGACATATATATAGACGAAAAACAAAAGTTCATTCCTATTTCATTATTATTTGAAAGCTTCTGAGCCCCATTTCCTTTCTTCTTCACTATCTAGAGTATCATGGCTGGCAGTTGCCTCCTCACTGACTTATTTTTTCACCGCCTCTATGTTTTACTCTTGCCACCCTTGGACCCATGAGCTCACTGATGCCTCCGAGGCCTCCAATTTCAGCTCTCTAATATGTTAGAGACAGGTGGTGAACAACAATTTATATGATGATTAACTCAGATTTGTATAAATTTGGCCTGATATAATCCATAATTATCCTTGTCGAGAATTTGGGCTCCATATATCAAGCATGTTATTGATTACTTAAAATGATAATTCCTGTAAAATTTATGACGCCTAATCTTACTAGGTGTCCATACATTTCAGATTTATTTATCTTTCATATGTTAATTCATTTGGCAAGCAAAAAACCTTTATCCAAACTTGCAAAGGATATTTGGCGTTGGCTTGAGAAAATAAATACATCAGACTTGGAAGTCATGGACATGTTTTACCTAGTCATATAGAGGGGCATGGGCTATAAAAAAACAGCCTTTGTGTTAAATACCTTTTATCAATTCTTATTCCTTTTTTCACTTCGTTCAGGATCTTTTAGCTCTTGAGGAAAAGATGGGATCAGTGAGCACTGCCCTTCCGGAGGAGGCGCTTTCAAAATGTCTCAAGAAAAGCACCTACAGAACAAACTTCCTCCGTATGCCAGGACTCTCTGGCCATGGTGATGATGATTTCAAGTGTAGCATTTGTCAGGTAAAATTTGATCCATATTTTGGAAGGAATATATTTAAATTTCTAATGAATTCTTAAAAACTAGTGCAGACATGTTATATTTAGTCATAAAGCATGATGATGAAAATGTTTGTTAATGATCCTTTTCAACGAAGAGCTCATCAATTATTACTGAAAACCTTAACAACAAATATATATCATTAAAAGACCATCCTTTGTCTTTCCAGCATCCACCAAATTTAAATAGTCTATATTTTTCTCCCTTCAACAAAAAAAAAAAAATCTTAATGATTCATCTCAGTACACTGAACATCAGTATGTATGGTATGTAACTGAACCTATTTATGTAGGAATTCTCATTTGAGCCGAGCACAACATGATTTAAAAGAGATGAAAATAAATAATTATGAGCAGTAGCATCATTCTACTTATCTACCAACTAATTAACAAATATAAAAAATATGTATACATTAGTTAATTTATATCTATTATATTTCAAGCTAACAAGTAGCCAAACATGATCTAACAAGACGAGGTTCTATTTGTGTTCTTCTTGTTAAGAAAATTTGATCAAAATAACAAATTAATATCAGCTCACTTAACAAATGAATCAAAATGATCTTCTTAGTGAGCCGGGCAAGAGCTGTTGCAAATGATGGGCTTTTTTAACAGTTCTACTCTTTAATTAACTTTGATTGTGATATTATATGAATTTCTAGGAAGAATATATGATCGGAGAAGAATTGGGGAGCCTTCCATGCAAGCATCATTATCACGTGACATGCATTCAACAATGGCTAAGGTTGAAGAACTGGTGCCCCATCTGTAAAGCTCCAGCGACATCTTTAAACGATCAGCAACCTTGATTCTTCTACGCGTTTGTTCATAAAAAATTTCTCTCCACACATTTGTAGGTATGTGAACATGTGCTTCTTTAACGCTGCAATGAAAAATATTTACTGCAGTACACTATCCTATCTGCATATAATTTAACATTTTTTAGCAACCTCAGTGGAAATGTTCTCTTGATGGGTTCTCTTAGGCTCTGTTTAATTTTGAAGGGTGAAAGAGAGGAAATGAAAAAATAAATCAAAATCGGAATGATAAAAGATTCGAGTCGAAATTAGTTTTCTTTCACTTATTAATGGTTGAGGGGAATTTGATGGAACTGTGCTTTTAAATTCTCATTGAGTTCATTAGAGCCAGATGCCATTGATGGGCCTCTCAGAGTTCTAATTCTGAACTGTCTGCTTTATTTTTAATTCAATAAATAACTTAATCAAACGCTTCAAAACAAGCTAACCTATTTGTAGAAGAGCAAGTTCATTGATTGTAGCTGCATCTCCATCCAAACTTCTTCGAACTTGCAGGCATTAGTTCATGAAGCTCTAACATATACAGACTCTCCCCACATGTTCCTGCTTAGATGTAAGAGCTAACCTCTTTCTACAGACACTTCAATGACTAGCGAAGACTCCGGTAAGCTTTTACCAGATCTAGTGAAGGATTATCTTAATTTTAACTCTACAGAGAAAAGTTATTTATGATGTGATGTAGTTAATGTAGTTCAACCCAAAAATATGTACACATTTTCATTAAACATGAAGATTTTTAGCACTCATTAGCCAGATTTAAAGCACAAGGATTTGGAGCACTTGAACTCCTAATCCCACTCCCTCATATATTTAGCATATGAATGAAATAAAGCAAAATAGAGTGATAAATTACCTTCCATAACAAGCATGGTCCCTAACCCCCTCCTTGTGTGGAAAAATCAACATGTACTAAATTGAAGGTCCACACTCCCCCTATTTTGCTTGGTTGGTCCCCTTTAAGCAAAGACAAATGACCGATTGCATTAAGAAGTGGTTGCAAATCATTTTTACGTGGCTTGCCTAACCTATGTACCATCCAATATATGTTATATTATATGTTTTGTTCTCTTATGATTAGAATATGAGAGTCTAATGTAACCTCGAATATTAATGAATGAAATATTGAAGGTTATTTCTTGGTTGGAATTAAATTAGGAGCTTGATGGCTTCTATTTTTGACTGGTTTGATATTCTCCCTTCTTCTAGTTATGCACCCTTCTCCAAAATATCATAATCTTTTTGCTTGTCATCGACAATACTACACACACGGTCCTTAATCAACCCTAACGTAGCCTTACTCACTCTCCTTCTTAATATATCTAAGATTTTGTTTGTGACAGTTTTCTTTTACTTTTTACAATAGATTTTTAGCTTTTTTTTTTTTTTTTTGAAAATAACGCAAAAGATAGTGGGCAAAAGTTGTCCCAAATGAAGTCTAAGCCATAATTTTTAGGCTAGGATATCCTCTAAGAACCCAAAAATATAGCCCCTTTCCACCCACAACTCCTTCAAAAATATTCTGATAACCCTTGACCTCTGTCACCCATACAAACCCAACAAATCATAAACCTAGCTGCGGCAATCAAATCAAAGGAACTCACCCAAATAGAAGCCATCACTGTTTTCTCCAAGTAAAATTCTTCTATGATCAGGGGCTATCATTTCCCTCACAAAAAGGCTAACTAACAATTTAATTCAATCAAGTCTTATAGCTCTATTCCTCTACTAGGATTAGGTTAATTTCCAATAAGAAAAATTTGAATTCAAATATATTTAAAAGCTAAATATTAAACTGTGAGATCTTTATTTTAATAATTTAATATAACACATGATTCAATTTTAATTTTGATATGCTTATTATAATTAATTTTTTACTAAACATGTGTGTGAGTATTTTTAAATTTGAATTTAAATTGAAAATCATAAATATTTTATTTTGATTAAATCATATATGTTAACTATTTTATTCAACGACTAATTGTATATATATGATATAAATTTATTTACTCAATTTTAAATTATTTTAATTGAAATTGGAGTCTTACAATGTAAAAATAGCTGTGAATTTATTGTGAAAATTGAATAGTAACCTTTTTAAATTTACCATACCCTAGCTGATTTGGCTATGAAAGTTCATTCTTGCCACAAATTTTTTTGAAAAGCGACCAAAATAACTACATTCAAATAGAAGTATGATAGTGATCTGTAAAAGAAAGTAATAAAAAACTTGAAACAAACAAACTCTTAATATCTGGATCAATAATCCACAATTTTCTTTGAAGTTCTTTCCTCTGATTTTTGTTCCAAATCTGGACCTCCTCCTACTTAACCATCAAAGGCAGACCCTAAGCAAGATGAGGAAAGCCAACATTGAAGCTTTAGATTTGTAATAGAAAAGAAATACAGTTGTTTAAATGTACAAACTAACAATTCTACTGCCAGAAAATGACTTAGGCCTCCTCGTTATTAACTGTCTTCACTCTGATATAAACCCCACATAAGATGAAAAAAAAAAGACCAATGCAGACAAATCCAACTCAAAGATAAACCAGTCTGTTCCCTAGGCACTGAAGAGCTCAATGTTGAAAAATGCCTTATTCTGACTTCAGTTGAAGACAGAGATTTGCATTTCAAAATACAGAGAGCTCATCATTTCTACTTAAGATCTTATGCTCAAGTTCTGTTCAAACTCAAGGCCTGGAATAGCCAATGAGGCCTCTTCAAGCTCTCTGAACCAAATCCAGCAGCAGAGTTTGTGAAGTCCTGAATGCTATCTGGCCTATTCAAATTAGAAGAGAGCAATAAACTTGAATCATTTCCCATTTGTTTCCAATCTGTTTCCTTATTCATATCTGTGGCATAACCAATGCTCAAATTGAGATCAAGGTTTGAGCTTGAATCATGTCTTTCTCCTTCAAATGGCTGTTGGAAATTATACTCTTTGGATATTCTCAGTGGCTCTGCGAAGCAATTGCTTAGTTCGCGCGAGCTTTGGCCTGCAGAAAATCGATGTATTGATGTGTTTTCATAATTTGGCACATCTGTAGAGTGATTTAGAGCACTGGCATGAGAGTAATGGCTAGTTTCTGAGGTATTTTTACTGTTCCTGAAGCTGTCTTTGATAACATAGGGGTTGTTAGGGGCCAAAAATGAGTTGCTCATCTTCAACTCTTCACTTTTCACCTCATTCATAAGCTTTTTCTGAACCTCATACAGTCGATGTAGTTCTTGCACCTGCAAATTAAGCAAAAGATAACACAAAACAATATGATTTCCATCAAGGTTGGCTGTATAATATAATCTTATTGCAAACATAGCTAGTAAGAGCCAAAGGGGGCAAAAATTTTGCCCTAATATATAAATAATCATCTAAATTTTTGCACTTCCAGCTGGTGTTGCCCTTATTCTAATTCTCAAGTGTTTTATGCTTCGTTTGGAATAACTTTTGGTCATTGTTTTTTTGTTTTCATGAAGTTTTTGTACTAAAAAGTTCCTATAGAAAGCAGTAAGAAAATTTTCCAAACGAAGCATTAATCAATGGTGTTCACTGAAAACTACTCACTAAAGTGGATCATGAAGGTAAGTTACCCACCTTTAAACCATATTCAACATGGTTGAAGGCACAACAAAAGTTAGGGTAGTTGCAAATTGCATGAGCAATATGATCCAAATCAAACAATAATCTCTAATATCATTTGTTGGATAGTTGGGTAAAAAGGATTCAAAGTTGAGCTTGGTACATTAATATGATGATATGAACCCGTCGATCTCAACCAATAATAAGCACCAAATTTTGGGCGAGTGTCAACTATTTTTAGTCATATATTTTTAGTTATTTGATGTGGGACTAAACCTTGTACTCTCATATGCATCAAAAATTTACATGAAATCACTAAGTGCTCATTTAGCTGCTTGAAATTAGAAAGACATGTTTTAAAAAATGATGAATTTATCTAGTTCTATCATTTCATTGGATTTAGTTAGAAATCAAATTTAGGCTTCATTGGGTACGGCTTTTTAAAACAGCTTTCTAGCACAAAAAAAATCTTGAACTAAAATTTTTGTACTATAAAGCTGCTTTAGAAAGCATTAAGAAAGTTGTCACAAACGAAACCTTAATTTCAAACTTATAGAGCACTTTCATTTCATAAAAAGTGATAATTTCATTTTTAACCGGAAACATATTAATCATTTTCTCAAACATATTTTCTATCTGCAAGCAATTAAATGAGCTCTAAGAAAAGAAAGAGATATGAACATAATGGCACCCAGCACCTGCTGTTTGAAGATCTCTTCATGCTTCATTACTGTATTCTTGATGGATTCTTTTCCGTGTTTTTCCACAAATCCTTCCATTGAACTGTGAAGCTTTTTGAAATCTGAATAGATGCCTCTGCTTAGAACTCTAAAATGGAGCTCTTTCTGAATAGCTTGGGATTTGAGACCTATCTGCAACTCTTCATAGTTTTTTCTCAGCAATGTGTTATGCAGATTGCTATTGCATTGCCAATTCAAAACCATTCCTGGAAAAGAAAAAAAAAAGGTAAGAAAGAACAACTTAATCATAAAAATTTTCAGATAATGATAAAATAGAAAGGAATTGACATCCTATTACTTCCATTTATCAAAATTTCATCATGAAAATCAAAATTCATAATAAAATTCGAACCGATATATCTACGTAATATTCTTAATTATTTGATTGAGACATGCACAAATATATATATTTACAAATATATATATATATTTTTTTTTTCGACACTCGTTAGATTTAAAATCACGCAACACTTGATAAGGAGTGTTTTTCTCTGAAAAAATCAATGAAACTAATCCAAAACCGCAGCACCCACAGATTTATATTAACAATAACAGCAACATCAAGCCTTTATCCCACTAAAAAAAAGCACCTAAAATTGGCTAAACTTAGAAGGAAAAACAAGCAGACATTATCTACAGGTTTCCCAGTTTTATGAAATAGAAGACTCTATAGATCATTGGGTTGGTCAAAAAAGGAAGGCAGGACAACAGCATTAAAACAAGAACAATGGAAGAAATAAAAACTTTTATGACCCGACAAAGAAAAAGACTAGTAGTTGAATATGTATAAGCATGTTATTTCCTCAACAAGTTGAAATTTTCATCAGCTGAAATAGCCATTTCATATTTGTCAACTTACTTAGCTCATCTTGATATATTGGTTAGGAGCTTTAACTATCAAATAAGAGGTTTTGAATTCGAGTCTTGCATATGTAAGGGTGTCGA